CCATCACAGGAATAAATTACATTTTAGTATATATTAAAATAGAAAACAGTATAAAAGTAACAAAAAAATCTTACCGACCCCAAACATTTGAATTTGTATAAGTAAGAAAACTACAGTATAATACCAAGGAAACCATTCATTTTAAAAAGGAAGCATACAGTATACTGTGATGTGAATACTTGTTTTACCTGACCAGCCCCTTTTGTTGATATCTACTGATCATATCAATTTCTGATGTTCTCTATTACTTACTGGTGGACCTGGAAGACCTGGTGGTCCCTCCATCCCATCATCCCCCTGTAAACATTACCATTAACAGATGAATATAAATTGATGTCTTTAAAGTCTGCATGAAATCAAAATTGACACTATTTATTTTGTTAGCGGACATTGTTGGTCTTGAGGTGAACTATTAGCCCGTGCAAGTTAATCCACTGAAAAAAATAGTTTGTCTTGATAATCTTTAATCAAAATCTGAACATTAGCTTCCGCTCTGGAATGGCATTTCTTCTCTGATTACGTCAGTTTGATGCCTTTGGCACTCCCCTCCAACCATTAGTTTGCTGTGAGCAAGAGATGGAGGTGTGCTCCCCCCCATATTCAATATTCCATTTCAGTTGGAAAAAACTGAAATTTACTTCACAAAACTGAAGTAAAGTAGGTACTAACTACCGGTTCACGTGGACTTTAATGCGCAACTATGTGGACTTGTTTATTTGATAAACAAATGTTGAGCATTTATTGCATTCTAGTTATTTTGTTTTCACTTACATCTGGCCCTGGATGACCTTCAGGGCCCTCCATCCCTCTCATTCCTTGTGGACCCTGTAAAAGAATTAAAATATAATCAGGCAAGATTGTTATTATGAATGACAAAACTATGTACATTTAAACGACAACGCCAGATGTAATTAAAGAATAAATAATTTTTATTGTGTTCATTCTGTTTATTAATGTTGCTGTAACTTACAGGAGGGCCGACAGTACCAGGAGAGCCAGGTGCTCCTTTTGAACCCTGTAAATGTGAACTACAGGTTACATATTTTCATAAACACTTACAATTATTAGGCAGTTTTCCCAGCATTATGCAACTGTAGATTATAAAATTTTTTATTAAGTGCCTATTTAATAACGTAGTTCTTTGCCTGACCACTAGATGGCAATATATACCATCATCTCAAAGAATGCACCCTATACTGTAAACATGAGTTGCCCGCATTTATTGACTACTGATTTAATCATAACTTACTTTCTCTCCGCCTTTTCCCATATCTCCACATGGACCCTCTGGTCCAGCAATACCCTGTAACAAGAACAGTGTAAGTCCTTAGGCAAAAATAAAATAACTAAACAAAATCATGGCACATCATGGGATTTGATCTATAATATTTTAGTTACTAGCTTCACCATAACTATCTTACCTCTTCTCCTTTCTCTCCAGGTGAGCCTGATTCTCCTTTATAGCCTAGAGGACCCTGTGTTTCAAAATTTACTGTTAACATACCAAAAGAATCAGAAAACATGACACAATAAAACACTTTCAGGCCAGGATGCTGAAATGAATTGCTTATCTACCTTCAAAATGTCAATGTAACTGTAACATTTATAATAATATCACTTTACCTTTGGTCCTGGAATCCCCAGAGACCCCTGAGGCCCGTCCAGCCCGTTTTCTCCATCCTTTCCAAAGACCCCTTCTCTGCCTATCACACCTTTTGGGCCACGGTCACCCTGCAAGAATAGCACACAGAAAAAAAATAAAATAAATGAATTTTAAAAAATCATAAATTAAGAAAAAACACTTTTCCAGCATACATCTAAACACATTTAAAGGTAAATGGATTTAAAAGTAATTTAAAGTGATAGGCTTCCATTATAAGTACATTTTGTTTGTACAAACTGAGGCACAAATTATTTTCAGTGATAATTAACAGCATATTTAAGATGCCTTAATTAGAGTTTAAGATGGATTAACTAAAAATGACATTTGTTGGCGTTAATGTTACTACTACTAAAACCTAACTAAAAAGCTCTAGATTGTGTTATTGCCAGCCTAACATATCTTGTTAATGTAAACACAGCTGACAATGTTATATGATTATAAACAGGCAGGACATATTTGTTAAAATATCTAATCTGTGCATCAGGCGTTGCAACGTAAATGCAGCCAAAGAATCCTAGGACTGAGTTGTTTTTTTTTATTAATATGAGTTAATATTAATCAATCAATCAATCAATCAATCAATC